TTGGCCAATAAATTTCTTTCTATTTAAACAAACATTATAGCTTAAAGAAGACGAGGCTAAACTGCTGAACCTTAGGCTCCAGACACCGGCCTCGGCCCTCCCAGAGTGCTAGATATAACAAAAAAGATGAGCCAAACTTCCAGTTGTACAACCATCACCACTAATTCCAGAACATTTCCATCACCCTAAAAAGAAACCCCATGCTCATTAGCTCACTAAAAAGAAACCCCATGCTCACTCCCATTCCTCCTTCCCCTATCTCCTGGCAACCACAAATCTTTTTGTCTCTGTAAATTTTACCTATTCTGGACATTTATATAAATAGGATTGTATAGTATGTGGCCTTTTTTGACTGGCTTCTTTCACTTAGCATGATGTTTTCCAGGTCCATCTATGTTGTAGAATGTATCAGTACTTCATTCCTTTTATTGCTGAATAATATTCCCTGGTACAGATATATCACATTTCATTTCTCTATTCATCAGTTGATAGACATTTGGGCTGTTTCCACTTTTGGGCTATTATGAATAATGTTGCTATGAACATTCACATATGACTTCTGTGTGGACATGTTTCCATATCTCTTAAGTATATACCTCAGAGTGGAACTGTTAAGTTATATGGTAACTCTGTGTTTAACCTATTGAGGAACTGCCAGACTTTTCCAAAGCAGTTGCGCCAATTTCAATTTCCACCAGCAATGTATAAGGGTTTTGATTTCTCTACCACCTCACCAACACCTGCTACAGTCCATCTTGTTTGTTTGTTTGTTTGTTTGTTTGTTTGTTTTTGAGACACAGTCTATGTTGCTTAGGCTGGTCTTGAACTCCTGGGATCAAGCAATCCTCCCACTTCATCCTAGTGGAACCTCATTGTGGTTTGTTTTTTTTTTTGTTTGTTTGTTTTTTTGAGACAGAGTCTTGCTCTGTTGCCCAGGCTAGAGTGAGTGCCGTGGCAGTAGCCCAGCTCACAGCAAACTCAAACTCCTGGGCTCAAGCAATCCTACTACCTCTGCCTCCCAAGTAGCTGGGACTACAGGCATGCGCCACCATGCCCACCTAATTTTTTCTATATATATTAGTTGGCCAATTAATTTCTTTCTATTTAAAGTAGAGACGGGGTCTCACTCTTGCTCAGGCTGGTTTCGAACTCGTGACCTAGAGCAATCTGCCCACCTCGGCCTCCCAGAGTGCTAGGATTACAGGCGTGAGCCACCGCGCCCAGCCCCTCATTGTGGATTTTGATTTCCATTTCCCTAAGGACTAATATTGTTGACCATCTTTAAATGTCCTTATTGGCATTTGCATAGCTTCATTGAAGAAATGTCTATTCAGATCCTTTGCCCCTTTGTAAATTGGGTTGTTTTTATCGTTAACCTGAATCCAGGTTTGTAAGATTCTATTAAGTACAACATTTCTTTAGATACATATAATGGAATTTTAGGCAGCCAGTAAAGACTATGCTTTGGATAATATTCAATTGTAGTTTTTCTTTTTTTTTTTTTTTCAGATAGAGTCTCACTCTGTTGCCTGGGCTAGAGTGCCATGGCATCAGCCTAGCTCACGGCAACCTCAAACTCCTAGCTCAAGTGATCCTCCCGCCCCAGCCTCCCAAGCAGCTGGGACTACAGGCATGTGACACCATGCCCATCTAATTTATTCTATATATTTTTAGTTATCCAACTAATTTCTTTCTATTTTTTTAGTCTCACTCTTGCTCAGGCTGCTCTCGAACTCCTGAGCCCAAATGATCTGCCCACCTCAGCCTCCCAGAGTGCTAGGATTACAGGCATGAGCCACCATGCTCGGTCTGTAGTTTTTTTAAAGACAGTGTTCAAAAAGAAAGCAAGACATTAAATTAAATATAATCTACAGGCACTCAAATGGGATGGATTAGATTAGACTAGAAGGGAGATCTCTGGGTAACAGAATTATAGGTGATTTCATTTTTTTATATACTACTTTTTTAATATACTACTTTTGCATTTTCCACCTATCTATAATATATACATTTTTCATGAAAAAAATCACTATTATAAATTAAAGGTGAATCATGGACTTCTCACTATACTTCCACCAGCTTGCAAGTTATATATCTCTTATTCTCGTTTTTTTCACTACTTGTATGTAGAAAGATCTAAACGCATAGGCAATCTGAGTGTTCAAATGTTTGGTATAGTAAAGAAAATTCTGGTGTATAAGCCAGGCCCGGTGGCTCACACCTATAATCCCAGCACTTTGGGAGGCTGAAACAGGAGGATTGCTTGAGGCTAGGCATTCAAGACAAGCCTGGACAACAAAGCAAGATCTGTCTCTAAAGAAATGAAAAAATTAGCTTTGCACAATGGCACATGCCTGTAGTCCCAGCTACGGGGATTAAGGGGAAGCTAAGGCAGGAGCCCAGCAGTCTGAGCTATTATCTCACCACTGCACTCCAGCCCAGGTGACAGAGTGAGATCCCATCTATTTAAAAAAAAATAATAATAACCATCATAAAAGAAACCAAGAAAATATTACAGAGAAGTTACAGTATTCAAACACAGCATGCTCCCAGAAAAGATCACAAAACATCTTCCTCAAAAGCAAATGCTGCTCTTTTTCATGGCGCCTCGGAGGCAATCAGCTGCTTCACGATGAAGCTGAATATCTCCTTCCCAGCCACTGGCTGCCAGAAACTCATTGAAGTGGACGATGAACGCAAACTTCGTACTTTCTATGAGAAGCGTATGGCCACGGAAGTTGCTGCCGACGCTCTGGGTGAAGAATGGAAGGGTTATGTGGTCCGAATCAGTGGTGGGAACGACAAGCAAGGTTTCCCCATGAAGCAGGGTGTCTTGACCCATGGCCGTGTTCGCCTGCTACTGAGTAAGGGGCATTCCTGCTACAGACCAAGGAGAACAGACCAAGGAGAACTGGAGAAAGAAAGCGCAAATCTGTTCGTGGTTGTATTGTGGATGCCAACCTGAGTGTTCTCAACTTGGTTATTGTAAAAAAAGGAGAGAAGGATATCCCTGGACTGACTGATAGATACTACAGTACCTCGTCGTCTGGGGCCCAAAAGAGCTAGCAGAATCCGCAAACTCTTCAATCTGTCTAAAGAAGATGATGTTCGCCAGTATGTTGTGAGGAAGCCCTTAAATAAAGAGGGTAAGAAACCTAGGACCAAAGCACCCAAGATTCAGCGACTTGTAACTCCACGTGTCCTGCAACATAAACGCCGGCGTATTGCTCTGAAGCAGCAGCGCACTAAGAAAAATAAGGAAGAGGCTGCAGAATATGCTAAACTTTTGGCTAAGAGAATGAAGGAGGCCAAAGAAAAGCACAGGAACAGATTGCCAAGAGACGTAGGCTGTCCTCTCTGAGAGCATCTACTTCTAAGTCTGAGTCGAGCCAAAAATAAGATTTTTTGAGTTAAATAATAAATAAGACCATATCCCAAAAAAAAAAAAAAAAAAAAAAAGCAAATGCTACCAAGGAACAATATAATCAATCTTTACTGGGGATTATGTTGCCTAAAAGATGATTTCAAACATACTGCTATGATAACAGTAAGGTAAATACTAAAATTTTAGGAGGTACCAAGGGTAGTCACTAAAAGACTATTTATTAAAAAATGTAATCCAGTCCAGGTAACATAGTGAGACCCCATTGCTACAAAAAAATAAGAAAACTAGCCAGGTGTGGTAGCACACACCTGTAGTCCTAGCTACTCTGGAGGCTGAGGTGGGAGGATTGCTTGAGCTCAGGAGTATGAGGTTGCTGTGAGCTATGGCTATATCCCTGTGTGCTAACCTGGGTGACAGAACAAGACCCTATCCCAAAAAAGAGGGGAGAGGGGAGACGGGTGAGGGAGAGGGGTAACCAAATAATTATGGTAACTAATCATCTTTAAATGTATTTATCTGTCATAAGAATTATTGTAATTAAGAATTAAAGGCCAGCGCAGTGGCTCACACCTGTAATCCTAGCACTCTGAGAGGCCGAGGCAGGAGGAATGCTTGAGCTCAGGAGTTCGAGACCAGCCTGAGCAAGAGCGAGACCCTGTCTCTACTATAAATAGAAAGAAATTAGCCAAACAACTAAAAATAGAAAAACATTAGCCAAGCATAGTGGTACGTGCCTGTAGTCCTAGCTATGTGGGAGGCTGAGGCAAGAGGATCACTTGAGCCCAGGAGTTTGAGGTTGCTGTGAGCTAGGCTGACGCCACGGCACTCTAGCCCGGGCAACACAGTGAGACTCTGTCTCAAAAAAAAAAAAAAAAAAAAGAATTAAGGACATCCTTATTGATGGAATATTGATGGAAAAGAGTATGGCTAAAAAAAAAAAAAAAAATCACCCTTTGCAATACTATACAGCAGAGTTAAAAAGAATAAAGTACAATGTAGACATAAGATGTACCCAAAAACTACACAGACCTCCAAGACATATTGTTAAAGGCAAAAAGCCACTTGCTGAACAATATACAGCTTTAGTCCAAAGAATGGCAGGAAGGTCTATTTCTCCATAATCCAGCAACACTTTCTATAATCCTGCACTGCTTACTGCAGTACTAGTCTTGCTTAATCATTTCAGAGCCTCACTTTCCTGGTTTTACTGACTGTATGTGTTTATCTCCGAAACTAACCATGCTTCTTGAAAACAGGAATCATGACATCTACTCCAATCTGGCACTTAGCACAGATCCACACATAAAACAGGGGCACAAATAATATTTGTGGATGGCTAACAATATGTAAAATATGATGGAGCAAGACTTTTAGAGGCAAAGAAAACAAAACATTCATTAAATGAGAAAACCAGGACCACAATGCAGTTCTTTACATGTCCTGGGTCAACATGTTTTATACTACCATAGCTTTTTTGGAAATTCTAGTAACAATTTATGATTATATTTTCTTTCTCTTGAGAGATTTTTTAAAATCACTCAAATATGTTAAAAAAAAAAAGCTTAAAAACCTATGAGTAAAATATTTCATATCCCACAATTTTAATAAGACTTACTGTCTGTCTAAGCATTGATGCTATCAAGGTGCTTATTAAGGCCACAGTCGATATCTGCAAACTCTATAGCTCTTCTGATTATCCAACATGTCTTCTTACTATTAAAAAAAAAGGTATGTACTTTAAAGGCAAATTCATATCAAATTATATAAAAATTTGATATAAATGAAACTAAAGTCCAAAATAGATATAATGTTTATAATATAAATATATATGATATTCCAAAGAGAAAGTCATGAAAGAAAAAAGACAAGAAAGGTCTCATTTGTCATCACTGTAGGTGACTAATGCACTCTGAAAATGGTTCTGTAAAGGGAAGGAACTAAGCATTTATTCTACCTTTTAAGTAGAACACTATTTCTAGGTAACAAAACAGCCCTAGTTGATGAAAGAAATTTTGTCTTTATAGTAGGTGGCTAGCTACTAAATGTAAAAGGAATAATAGAATCCAAACTAATTACCATTTTGTAACCCATAATTAAACAGCAGATCAAGAATCACCAATGAATGCTGAAATCATTAGGTGAAAGGTTGATAGAAAGTGACCTGTTGTCAAAGTACCATCCCACAGATTCCAACTTGCTAGACACAAAAAGAAAAACGTAACTCTACAACGAAATGATCAGGTTCTCCCCGCCTTAGCTTGGTGATCAAATACATCAAAACACTGAGCACTAGATATTATATGTGTCTCAATATGAAACAATATGAAGTAGACAGTATTACTAAATGAAGTACTTTCCCCAAAATGTTTAGCCTGAGCCTATTTACACATTTAGATCTAACTCCCAGTTTACAGGAAATACATATGGGGGTAGAGGAAGAAGTTATACTACACCATGAGGAAACAATTAGCAATACCAAATGTAATACAGTCTCAGTAGAGCTAGCAAGTCAATACCTGGGGGAGGTGAGGAAAGGCAGAGAAGGGAATGGGATGGGTAGAAGAGATAGTTCTGTATACAAAAAGACTCAAGAGATAAATAATAACCAAATGCAACAGGTAGCTCTTGATTGAAACTTGGTATTTATTAAAGAAACACAGTAATAAAAGACGTTATGAATATAGTATAATACGTCAGAGAATTATTTGTAATTTTGCTAGGAATAATAATTGTTTTGTGGTTTTATAGGACAATGTCCTTTTCCTGGGCGATACGCTAAAGATAATATGTCTTCTTATAATTTTTTTAAGAGAGCAAATTTCAAGCTAAATTTTTAGATGTCAAAGTCCAAAATACAAATAACATTTATAACACAAATATATAATACTCACAAGAAAAAACAAAGAAAAATCTCATTTGCCACTACTAATTTACTTTTAAATGTTTTAGAAAATTTATATATACATGTAGATAAAGCAAACGTGGCAGAATGTTAACAATTATTGAATCTAGGAGATGGGTATGTGTGGATTCAATGCACCATCCTACTTTTCTATATGTCCAAATATTTTCCTAATAAAAGTTTTCAAAATAGGCTGGGCCCGGTGGCTCATGCCTGTAATCCTAGCACTCTGGGAGGCCGAGGCAGGCGGATTGCTCAAGGTCAGGAGTTCGAAACCAGCCTGAGCAAGAGCAAGAGCAAGAAGACTCCGTCTCTACTATAAATAAGAAGAAATTAATCAGCCAACCAATACATATAGAAAAAATTAGCCAGGCATGGTGGTGCATGCCTGTAGTCCCAGCTACTTGGGAGGCTGAGGCAGCAGGATTGCTTTAGCCCAGGAGTTTGAGGTTGCTGTGAGCTAGGCTGACGCCACGGCACTCACTCTGGCCTGGGCAACAAAGCAAGACTCTGTCTCAAAAAAAAAAAATTTTCCAAATGTGCCATGCTTCAAGCAAACTGGTTTCTAAAACGTTTGATAAAAATAAAACCATGTTTAATTCACTCAAAGAATATCACCACAAGGTTAAAAAAAAAAAACTCCTTTAATTCAAATATCAACCCTTAATTTAAAATTTATAATTCAAATATGCCAAGTTTTCATAAAGCAGGGCACACTCCATATTTGAAAGGTTATTTATAGGCTATCTGTCCTTATGTGTCCTGAGAAAAGAAAAATTCAATCATGCTATAGGTAAAAGGAAGGGAGAAAATGAAAAGGAATTTTTAAAAGGATAAAAATTATGAGAAGGACCCCAAATAGTCAAAACAAATTTGAGAAAGAAAAACGTAGAGGCCTCATACTTCCTGATTTCAAAACACCTTGCAAAGCTACAGTAATCAAAACACTATGGTAAATTAGCTGGGGCATGGTGGCGCATGCCTGTAGTCCCAGCTACTCAGGAGGCTGAGGCAGGAGGATCACTTGAGCCCAGGAGTTTGAGGTTGCTGTTAGCTAGGCTGATGCAACAGCACTCTAACCTGAGCAACACAGTGAGACTCTGTCTCAAAAATAATAATAATAATAATAATACAACTCAACAAAAAAACCAAATAACCTGATTAAAAAGCAGGCAAAGGATGTAAATAGACATTTCTTCAAAGATACACAAATGGCAAACAAGTATATGAAAAGATGCTCAACATCACTAATCTCAGAAAAATGAAAATCAGGCCGGGCAAGGTGGCTTACGCCTGTAATCCTAGCACTCTGGGAGGCCAAGGCAGGTGGATTGCTCGAGGTCAGGAGTTCGAAACCAGCCTGAGCAAAAGCAAGACCCCCGTCTCAACTAAAAATAGAAAGAAATTAATTGGCCAACTAATATATATAGAAAAAAATTAGACGGGCATGGTGGCACATGCCTGTAGTCCCAGCTACTTGGAAAGCTGAGGCAAGAGGATTGCTTGAGCCCAGGAGTTTGAGGTTGCTGTGAGCTAGGCTGACGCCACGGCACTCACTCTAGCCTGGGCAACAAAGCGAGACTCTGTCTCAAAAAAATAATTAATTAATTAATTAAAAATAGAATTACCATATGATTCAGCAATTCCACCTCTGGGTACATATCCAAAAGAATTGAAAACAGGATCTCAAAGACATAATTACACACATATGTTCACTATAGCATTATTCACAAGAGTCAAGAGGTAGAATCAATCTAAATGCCCAGCAGATGAACGTGCTCTGTTTCTCATTTTTATGGCATATAATAAAGATATTGAAGAAAAAGAAAAAATTTAAGAAAAGAAAATAAATTTAAAAAAATTTTTAAATGTGCTCTATATATACACAATGGAATGTTATTCAGCCTTACAAAAAGAAAGAAATCAGGTCATAAGCTACAACATGGATGAACCTTAAGGACATTATGCTAGTGAAATAAGGCAGTCACAAAAAGAAAAGAATGACATGATTCTACTTAGATGAGGTACCTAAAGCAGTCAAACTCTAAAACACAGAAAATAGAATGGTAGTTGCCAAGGGATGAGAGAAGGGTGTAAAAGGGAGTTCAATGGGTAGAGTTTCAGTTTTACAAGATGAAAAATTGCACAACAGTGTGCATATAGTTAACTCCTAATGGTTACAGTAGTAAATGTTTCATGATTTTTTTTAACTATAAGGAGTTTAACTACAAAGAAAAAATTTCGAGAAGTTGGTCTAGTAGGGAAAGAGAATATTCACTCAAGAGAGGTGGAGTCAAAAATAGAACATTAACTGAAAAAAATATGATGAGGTTTATAATATGGAAAAAGAGAGTTTTATTTCTCATAAGGGTTTCAGCCCACGATGGCCATTCCAGCAGACCGGGAAGCAGGGCAAGCCAGGAACACCCGCTTAGAGGCAGGCACAATGGGAACCGGAGTTTATACTGAGTGAGATGGCCAAATATACATATTTAACAAACTATAGGAGTCATGAATATTCACAAAAAGAGAAAACATGCACATGTGCAGTTGTGTTTTATACCTCCCACCCTGTCATGGCTGGGAACCTAGTTTTAAGGTTTCTCTGGGCTCCCCTTGGCCAAGAGGGGTCTGTTCAGTTAGTAGGGGGCTTAGGATTTCACTAAACAAAAGAAAATCACAAATAGAAATTCTGAGAAATGAACTAAATTTAATTGCATCTACACAATCAATTATCAACTCTGGGTCCCCTGACTAGAAGCTTTACTGGAGATACATAGGTCCAGAAACTACGTACAAAATACTCTACTAGGTACCTGTACTTCCCAGTAACTGTGCTTGTATCATATCACTCCTACTCAACTACTTCTTTCCTCCCAACCACCAATCACCAAAAAGCCTACATGCTCTCCTACCTGTCTGTAAAAATGCCTTCCTCCACTGGAAGAACTGTCTAGAAATTTTCTCAACATATCCAAAATTGATAATGATCAGAGGAATTCTTAACTCACACTAACCAAACTCCTAATATTTCTTATACAGTTTCAGTTTCTTTCTTTTTCTGAGACAGAGTCTCGCTTTGTTGCTCAGGCTAGAGTGAGTGCCGTGGCATCAGCCTAGCTCACAGCAACCTCAAACTTCTGGACTCAAGCAATCCTGCTGCCTCAGCCTCCCAAGTAGCTGGGACTACAGGCATGCGCCACCATGCCCGGCTAGGTTTTCCTATATATATTAGTTGGCCAATTAATTTCTTTCTATTTATAGTGGAGACGGGGTCTTGCTCTTGCTCAGGCTGGTTTTGATCTGGAGCAATCTGCCCACCTCGGCCTCCCAGAGTGCTAGGACTACAGGTGTGAGCCTTCTTAAGAGGAGTTTATAGTTGTTTCAACTTCTTACTTTCTGTTGACTCCTTCCCCAACACCATCCTCCCCTGGCTCCACAACCCCTGGGATCTGCTGGTGTTTCTCTGCCTAGCCCTTCTCAGTCTCATTCATGGATTTCTTCTCTTCTGCCCATTTTTTTCAATGTTATTACTCCTCCTGGGTTCCTTTTTTTTTTTTCTTCCAAAAGCTCTTCTGGAATCCTCCTAGATTCTATCTCTAACCTTTTGCTCTACCTACCTATGATATTATGGTAGAAAAAGACAGATAGACAGACAGATAGATAGATTGATTGATTTTCATCGATGGTTCCTGGCTTATAACTCCCATAGCCCTTGTTGTAGTATAATGTTGGGGCAGTTTAGGCCCCAGGAAATAGAATCGCTCTCTGACCACCTCCTGCCCTCCTTTTACCTGTCTAAGGCAGGACTCTAATCTGATTGTGGATTCTAAAACCCTCGTTCCAGAGAGTCCTGTCTCATACCTGAAGGAAGGAATGCTACACAGACAGGCCAGGAAGAATCTGAACAGACAGGCCTTGCTGGGTTTCCCCACTTAGTCTATTAGGTATGAGATCATACCCTTTTTACCCAGTCATACTTCTACATCATTGTCAATCACACCCATGTAATGAAGCCCCATAAAAACCCAAAAAGATCTGGGCATGGTGGCATGTACCCGATAGTTCTGGCTTCCCAAGAGGCTGAGGCAGGAGAATTGCTTGAGCCTGGGAGTTCAAGGTTGCGCTGAGCTGTGTTTGTGCCACCATACTCCAGCCTGGGAGACAGAGTGAGAACCTGTCTCTATAAAAAAAAAAAAAAAAGGCATACAATCTCCTCACTCTTTCCCCCCTTCAGAGCACCTCTTCATCTGTATCCTTTGTAATATCCTACATAATAAATTGGTAATGAAGTTTCCTTGAGTTCTATGAGCCACTCCAGCAAATTAATCAAACCCAAAGAGGAGGTCATGGGAACCCCAATGTGAAGCCAGCTAGTCAGAAGTTCTGGAGGCTTGCACTGTGACTGGTGTCTCAAGTGGGAGAGTTTGGGGACTGAGCCCTCAACCTGTGGGATCTGATGCTATCTCCAGGTAGACAGTGTCAGAACTAAATTGAAGGACACCCAGTTGGTGTCTACTGCAGGAACGATTGCTTGCTCACTGGTAGAGTGAAATCCCCACATATTTTGGGGTCACAGAAGTCTTCTGTGTTGATTTTTGTGGTGTGACAGCAAAAGAAAAATGGAGTGAGTTTTTCTTAAACACTACCTTTTCTAGGTCCATCTAAACCCATGGCTTTGATACCTATAACTGTGACTCTAGCCAAGCATCCTCTCCCAAACTCCAATATAGTTAACTGCCTTAGAGACACACCCACTTGAATACTTCATGGGCACTTTAAACCTGAGGGATCCAGCTTAAAAATCTTTCAATGATTCTCTATAGCTTTCAAGATCAAGTTCCAACTCCTTGGTGAAGCATTCAAGGACTTCTATGATCTGGCCCCTAACCTACTCACAGCCTCCTCTGTACTCTCTCTTCCACCTGTACCTAATTATTTGTTTCCCACACAAGGTAGGCCATTTCACAGCTCTGTGGTTCACACATGCTCTGCCCAGAAATCCCTCCACCCGCTACCATCCAACCCATATTTTTTGGCTCAATTAACTTTCCTTGAGGAAAGTGTTCCACTATCCCAAAGTCTGATTTGGCCATAGCTTCCACTGTATCCTAGGCATACCTCTAGCTTAGCACCTTTGTATTTATTTGTTTAGTATACTAGTCTGTAAGCATCTCTTCAGATATGTGTCTTTTTTTTTTTTTTTTTTTTTTTTTTTTTTAAAAAGAGTCTTGCTTTGTTGCCCAGGCTAGAGTGAGTGCCGTGGCGTCAGCCTAGCTCACAGCAACCTCAAACTCCTGGGCTCAAGCAATCCTCCTGCCTCAGCCTCCCAAGTAGCTGGGACTACAGGCATGAGCCACCATGCCCGGCTAATTTTTTCTATATATATTAGTTGGCCAATTAATTTCTTTCTATTTATAGTAGAGACGGGGTCTCGCTCTTGCTCAGGCTGGTTTCGAACTCCCGACCTCGAGCGATCCGCCCGCCTCGGCCTCCCAGAGAGCTAGGATTACAGGCGTGAGCCACCGCGCCCGGCCCAGATATGTGTCTTATTTAGCAAACAATACCTCAACAAATATGTGTCATATGCCAGCACAAACCAAAAAGCCAACTTAGTTCTTTAAAATATTGAACTTACCATTTCAGTACCTGGAATACTTAGGTCCATAATACAAAGCATCTGTTTCCCACAAATAAAGCACCTATGAAAATAAATTCATAATCAGAAGGGTAGTTAAGAACTACAATGGATATTGTTTGTGTCTGCCCAAATTCCTTCCCCTCTCCTACCCCATCAGTGGTCTGTTTGCTGCTGACAGATCCCTGGCCATATAAGTGAGCATATCTTAAGACCTAGGCTGACCTAGGCATAGTACCTCATCCACTCAACTGCAGGCATTGGTCAAGATATGGCCATGTGACCAAATCTATCTAGAGCCTCTAACAGGAGGCTCTAAGTAGAAAGCCTGTGCTGCCAGGAACCCGGCCACCCCATGTGCAGACGCATGTCTACAGTAAAAGGAATGAAGCCAGTATGCACAGAGTATAAGAAGAGAAAGGACCCAACTATGGGCAAGGTCCCATCCTAACTTCTCCTGGACATCTCCAAGCCACACTATTTCTGTTATGTAGTTACATGAACCAATAACTTTTCCCCCACAGGCTATTTCAAGCTATATTTCTGTTACTTGTAGTCAATAGAGTCCTAACTAATAAACAGAGAAACTTAATGGAGGGAAATAAAATGTCAAAAGACATTTTCCATTCAGGTTGTAAAAGGGCCTACTATACCTTTTCTGACTTAGAAAACTTTCATTTATTAGATACAATGTCTCATTCTTTTCCCTACTGGATAACCCCCCAATTTACTATTTAATTGTACTTTTGATATAATCTGTGCAAATCACATCATTTTCTAAGATGAGTAATTTACCTCTTTCCTTTGCTACGCCCTAACTAGTACATACTGAGTTGACAAATAAGCAAGCAATACATGTGATAAGAGGACATAAAGTGCTAAGGAAACAAATAGGAGGCACCAGTAACCCAGACTTGAGGTATCGAAGAGGGTTTTCTCCTGGAGTTATCGCCTAGACTGAGATCTAAAAGACAAGTGTCAGTTAACAAAACAAAAGTGGAGGTAAGCAGAGAACTAGGGAAGGTATTCCAGACAAAGAGAAGCTTCTATACTCAGGCCTATATTTAAGGAACTGGGCATCTTAAGGGAGAAATGCAACTAATTGAATAGGACTAGCAGTCTTGAGGACAAAGAGAGAAAATGATAGAAGGAAGAAGACATAAACACAAACCAACTCATAAGGATCCTGCAAGTTAAGTCAGAAAGTTCACAATTCATCCTGAAGGCAATGAAACACCACACAAAAGGTTTTAAGCAGAGGAGTTACAGGATCAAATGTGTTAGAACACTCTAACTACAGTGGGAAAAAATGGATTGAAAGGCAAGACTGCAAGCAGAATGACCGGTAAGAAGACTACTGTAAGAACCCAGGTGAGAGATGATACTAACTACAAAGTAGGATAAAAGCAGTAGGAATAGGGAAAAGGAACAGATTTAAGAGATATTAAAGAATCCAATAAGGCTCAGTGATCAATCGGAATGTGAAAGTAAAGAGAAGAGCACAAGGAATAGCCATGTTGCTGCCAAGTTACTATTAGCAGCATATTACTATTTACTGACTTCTTACCACACAAGCATTATCTCCTAGAGATACGAAAGAAAAGAGAGAAAGTTTGTCTTGCCTTCTTTGGTTTGGGGATGGGAAGTTTATTAATGATGACAGTGTAGGATAAGCTAAGTTTGAGGAACCTGTAGGAACATCCAAATAGACATATCATGAAGATAGATAATCTACGAGTCCAGTTATCAGAAAACAGCTTTGAGTTGAAGATTAGAGAATTATCAGCATACAGATGGTAACTGGGGAGAGTATTTTTTGAAGTAAAATATCTGTTATTCATGCCAACATATATTTAATACCTACAGAACTGTAAAGTGTTGGGAATGGTGCTAGGCAAAAAAAAAAAAAAAGCAAGATTCAGTCTCAGTTCTCAAGAAGTTCACAGTTAATGAAGGTGACTCAATACCGTGACAAGCAAATAATGGAAATATTTCAAAGGTTCAGCAGTAATAAAAAGGCATAAATGATTATCTCTGCTGGGGGAAGGAAGAAAAAAGACTTTAGAAAAAATATCATCTACATCTTGAAGTAGGTTAGCATAGAGTTTAGGAGGAGAAGGACGGGGAGAGCAGTGAAGACACTCCAGGTTGACCATGCACGGTGGCTCACACCTGTAATCCTAGCATTTTGGGAGGCCGAGGCAAAAGGATCGCTTGAGGCCAGGAGTTTGAGATCAGCTTGGGCAATAGTGAGACCCGATTGCTACAAAAAATTTAAAAATTAGCCAGGCATGGTGGTGTGCACCTGTAGTCCTAGCTACTCAGGAGGCTAAGGCTGGAGGATCACTTGAGCCGAGGAGTTGGAGGCTGCAGTGAGCTATGATGATGCCATAGCACTATAGCCTGGGCAACACTGCAGGCAGAAGAAATAATAAATTCAAAGACAGAAAGAAATTTAAAAAAAAAAAAGATGCCCTGCTTTGTAACAGAAAAATTAAGTATTAATCATGTCAGTCTCCCAAACTAATTCTGAAATTTAATGAATAGAGAATACTTATAAAATGTGTTATAAAAAAAAAGACACATGGAGGAATTTTGCCCTACTAAATACTAAAGCACATATTAAAGTAACACAATAAAATTTAGTATTACAGATTCAAAAATCCAATAAAGATGGAAGAATTACAATGAAGTCATAAGCCAGAAATAGGCCTAAATATATCTCAAAACTTAAATGCAATAAAATAGGCTTTTTAAAACATGATAGAATTTTTTAATAAAGTATTAAAATGATTTAATGGTAATTCATAAAACAATTAAGATAGAGGCTGGCCAGCCACGGTGGCTCATGCCTGTAATCCCAGTACTTTGGAGACCAAGGCAGGAGGATCACTTGAAGCCAGGAGTTTGAGACCAGCCTGGGCAACATAGCAAGACCCCATCAATTCTTTCAATAAGCACTGAATGAAAAGTAAAAAAAAAAACAAAAAAAAGACTCCATCACTATATAAAAAATTTTTTTTTAAATTAGCTGGGTGTGGTGGCACGCACCTGTAGTCCTAGCTACTCAGGAGGCTGAGGCAGGAGGATGGCTTGAGCCCAGGAGTTCAAGGCCACAGTGAGTTATGATCACACCACTGCACTCCAACCTGGGTGACAGACCAAGACCCTATCTTCCAAAAAAAAAAAAAAAAAAAAATCATCACTTTATACTAAAATAAATTCTGACAGACCAAGAGTTAACTCTAGTAATACTAGAAAAAACTGATTATCACATCTTTAAAACAATGAAATGTCTCAGTTTAGATGGATCAATGACAAAAGAAAAGAATGACAGATTAATATATGAACATTTTAAACTTCCTACTATTAAAAGCAACCAAAAAGTAAAACAGCAAACTAAAGAAAAAAGATGCTAATAACCATATATTTAGGGCTTGCTCAGAATTTTAAGAAAAAACAACCAATAGACAATCAAAAGCTATGGACAGTCCACATTTAGAAAAATAAGAGTGTTACCAATCAGTCTAGTGAGGTTTAGTGAAATCATTACACCCTGCCCCAGTGCTCAGGTTAAGTGTCACAATGTGAGTTCTTTGATGCAGTAATTCTACTAACAGTCATAAAAATCTAACTGGTTTAGCCACTTTATTCCCCCACGTAAATTGATGAACTGCTCTTTTAATTTTTAAAATTCTAGATGTACAGTACTAATAAAATAATTTCTGGAGGGCGATGCTGAGATTTAAACTCAGGGTTAAGAAGGTAAAATACTCCCCAAGCCTCATAAGGCCTACCTTCGAAAAGCCTGGCAACCTACTATCTAGGCATATTTTAAGACTTTAGTAAGATAGGTAAGGAAGATGTTTGTAAATAAATTTAATATACCAAAATTCAGAGAAACGTTAACACCTGTATATGTTATTTTTTTATATATGAACAAACTGAGTAAGAGTAATATGGAAGGAAAAATGTTCACCTGACAAACCAATGTAACTTATTTCATCAATTTTAAGACATTTTTACATTTATATAGTTGGGATGCATCCCAGAATCAATGACGTGTCCTAGTTTACTTGGAGCAACTTTCTTTGTGGTGGCACATAAAATAGTCCATCTCACAACTAATGGGATGAATGGATAGAAAGACCATGGAAATAATGTTAAGAATAAGGTTTTGGGTCACAGAGATCTAAGTTCCACTAAATTGTGACTCTGAGATATATACATACACACACACTTGTGGAAGGGCCTTCAGCAACTTTCTTAACATTTCTCAGTCTCTGTCTCCTGATCTATAATATAAAACAGTGCTGAGAATAGTGTAAATCTCATAGAGGTGTGAGAATTAACTACAACAGTGTATGTAAACTGCTTAAAACCATGCCCAGGGTGTGTGTGTATACCATTTGATAATACACTGAAGATAAGGGCAAATGAGAGTGATAATGATGTATGGCTTGATGTATAGCTTACTCATAGCTTGGCACGGTAGACATCAACAAATGTTCAATCTCTTCTTTAATTCCTAACATAAAATACTTCAGAAAGCATTTAATAGATTCATTGCTTGACCTGGCAATCTGAGATTCTTCCAAGACTTACAATGTGATTTTGCATATAAAAAGCAGAAAGCAAGGCAAAGAAGGTAGATAGCTATTTTCTAAAATTCACATAGACTAATAAATGGTTACTGCTTTGCATATCAAAAGACATGGATAATCATGAAGGAAAGGAAAATAATTAGTGTTAAAAAAATGCCCCAACAATGGTAATATTTATTTAGCCTCTGTCATGCCCAAGATACTGTGATTATGCCTTTACCATAACTTAAGCCCATTTTTCCAGGCAATCCAGTAATCCCATCCTCTCTCTACCCTTCAAAACAACTGAAGTCAACAGGTACACAAATTGACATTCGTAAAGACTGTATGCTGATTTATTATTTTACAGGTTAGTCTTTTTCCATTAACTACAATGTAGCGTCCTTGCAGAAGAGCAGCCATTTACTTCCTCTTCTTCCCACCACCCTCCACCACTGCCGCCCCCATCCTAACACAGCACTTCAATAACAACGGCCCTGGCACAGAAACTCCAAAATATTGATCTAATTTCTGACCTTTGAAAATGAACAACGTACGAAAAGAAAATTGAATCACGTTTATCAAAACACAAAACATTTCTTACATTTCTTGAAGCGCCTAAGAATTCTTTCAGTGAAAACTGAAGAATTAAACCAGTTAAGGTTAAAACCAGTTACAAAAGACAGCTGGCGTTTGAGAGAAAAACACTGGAAATAACAAAAGCGGAGTGAAAAGGCTGGTGTTGGGAGCTAAGGAAAATTTTTTTGTTTCTAGGCAGAAGAGAGACAGCTGCAAATCAGTCACCGTTTTCCGAGCGGCGGCTCCGCTCAGGCTTCTCCTCCGCGCTCGGCCCGCCCCCTCCGAGGCGCCGGGCCCGGCGAGCCGCCGCTCGATTGGCTGAAGCCGGCGAGCAAGGCCGGCCAAGCCCGCCCTCGGCCCGCACCGCGCCACGGCGACGCCACAACCGCCGCACGGCGACAGACTGCAAACGCCCGCGCCTCAAACAATCGGGTCCCGGTTCTAGAAACTTGCCAAAAGGAAGACTGCTTAAAGCCAACACTGACGGAGATCTGCCGTCTACGTTTTTGTCTCTAGCTCTCTTTCTGAGGAAAAAACTATTTTAACCAAAAAAACACGAGACTCACTCTATTGAAGAGGAATTTCTAAACGGACAGCTCGGAGAGCGTCCGGATGAGAGAAGGGTTCTAGAAGGTCCCAGTGAGGATCAAAGTTACGGATCGGGGCAGAGGGTCAAACACGCACAAACGGCGAGGGAGGGCTGTCTCCCCGCAGCGCCCAAACCCGAACGCGCGGAGTGAGCGGCGGGGCGGCTCTGAGCGCGTAAAGCTGCAGCTCTGCTGGCACTGCGCGCCCGGGGGCGGCCTGAGTTCCCAGCGGGCTCCGCCAGGCAGCGCCGCAGGCGCGCAGGGCCAAGTCGCGGCGGGAACGGACAGGCAGGAAGCCTCCGGGGGCCGGGGGCGTTTCCGGGGCCTGGAGGCCCGCCAGGCACAGGGAGGCCGGGAAAGCGACCGTGGCCGGGCCCCCGCCTTCGCCGGCCCCGGCGGCACGCCAGGGCCCGCCTCTCGCCGACGCCTCACTTCCCTTCCGTCCGGGCGGCCGGGCCGTGGGCCAGACAGGAGGAGGCCCGCGCCGGCCCCCGCGTTCGGAGCTTTGGGTTCCGGACACAGCGGCGCCCGCCACTACCTCAGGCCCTCCACTTTGGCTCGTAGCCCCAGGACCCCTTCCCTCCAAGGCCCTCAGCCCGGACTCGGAGCCCTGCCTCCCACCCGCTGCCTTTACCTGCTGCTTCAGCGAGCGCAGGGCGCCGGAGCCGGAGCCGCGTCGTCGAGCGCGCAACGCCCCGCCGCGGGCCCGCAGCCCTTTCCCGCCGCCGCTGCGCTCTCTGGCGCGGCGCAGGGCTGGCGAGCAGCGGCGGCCGCGGGGGACGCGCGGCGAGCACGCCCGGCGGGGAGACACTGCCGCTCTCCGTCCGGCCGGGGAAGAGCAGCCTCGCAGCAGCCAGCCGCGAGAGGGCGGTGGGCGGCCGAGTGGGGAGGGGTCTCGAGGAGCTGGCAGTGGCCGCCACGTCGCCCAGGTGGATCGCCGCCTCCACAGCCGCCGGCTGCCTGCCGCGACCTCTGGTTCGTCCCCGAGCTCCGAGGGCGCATCGGTCCGCCCCGCGGGCGCTCCCACCTCTCCCGCGCCCGGCCTGGCCGGTTCTGCGGCTTCCGATCCTCCACCCCTAGGCTGCCCGGAGACTGTCGGTTTCCCCCTTTGCTGGGCACGCGGGTCACTGGAGGCGTACGCCTCTTTCAGTGTGGGGTTCTCGGGAGAAGCAGGAGCTGTTTCTCTCTGGTGAGCGTGGTAACAGGGGCCGGATTTCTGCCGAAACGAGCGACGCGGCGAGCCACAGCTGTTTCTACCCTGGGCACGCTCCCGAGCCCGAAAACAAAACAAACACACGGTCGCACTCGCCGGCCAAGGAGAGGGGAAATACGGGCAGGGGCCGCCTGCAAGCCGGAGGCCGGCGAGGCGGCCCGAGCGCAGCGCCGCAGCGCCGACCCCGGGCTGGGAGCGGCGGGCGCGGACCCGCGTCCTCGCGCGCGGCGCTGCCCCTCTGCGCGCCCCGGCGGCCGCCTCGGCACAGCCTTCTCGCAGCCCCGCGGGGAGACAAAGGAGCCGCGGGCGGCCGCAGGGCGGACTGACGCTGCACAGTCCCAGCCCGCGCTGCCGACGCGCGGCCCGGAAACGCCGGCGGGAGCACAGCAACGTGCGCGTCTGCACGAGAACCGCAGGCGCCGGCCTTTGCCCCTGCAGAGCTGGAGTTTTCAGGTGCCAAGAGGAAGCAACGGTCTGCTTCTTCCCTTTTGCGACCGCTGTACTATTGATCCGTCCCTCGAGCCTGCTCCGTTCCCCCCCCCCCAAACTCTGCTCTTTCTGCTTTATGTGTTCTGTGTTCTGACGTGAAATGTTCAGTGTTTTCTGGGTTACACAAATTTTTCACTCTTGCATTCTGGGGAAGCGGGGATGGTGGTGGTAATGGTTTTGCCAAATTTTTTCCTACCTCTTTTCCTCCCTTTGCAATTACTTTTTACTCCACTTTCACTGTTTTTTCATAGACTAAAGAAACAAAATAACATCACGACGAAATATTCCTTTGCATCAAAGTGACAGATTATCTATCAGTGTTGTCATGGCAATTGCTTTAAACTGAGTGTAAACTGGGGGCAAGTACAAGTGGGGTTTTTTGGGTTTTGTTTTTTTTCCTTTATTTAGGTTCAATTAGAACACCTACTCGCACTAAATGAGAACATTCTAGTGGTTTGTCTAGAAACCAGTAATATTTAAGCAGAGACCTCAGGATGGTAAATTTTCTGATGAAATTGCCCACGCGGAGAAAAATACAAAGGGAAAATTGTTTTTCCTTTTGTACGATTTTCTATATTTTTAGAGATCCTTTGAGTCCTAATGCTAAGAAATTACTATACAAACTCCTTTATTAATGCTTTTATTAAATTTCAAAAACAAAAAAATTATAATAACCCAGAATCTCAAGATATAAATAGCTATTGCTGAGAACCTAACATTAACTCTGCCTCTAAACAGCCATTAAAAGAGACTAATAACTGTAATACATGCCACTTTAGAAATGAAAAAAACCTACTAATTATAAACTTCAAACAAGTCTAGGAAATTAATATTAATTTGCTTCTGAAATATGTTCACCGTGATAATAATAAAGACTGGCATTTAAATTCTTTATTTTCCTGTGAACATCTGTTAAGGATTCATCACATCTTAAGTCTGAACAGTAAGAAATAAAGCATTCTTAACATTGGAAAATATATCTAAAGCCACAAAGACAATACCCCAGCTGAATATTTTAAGTTTCCTTACTAACTCAATAAAAGAAAAACGTCAATACTATAAAGTTCTGAAAGTCAGACTCCAATGAAGAACAAAGCAATCTTCTCTCAACATTTCACTATGCCAGCCTTAATTCGTGAATATTTATAAAGTTTCCTTTTTCCTTATTGGCTCAAATTCTAAACCAATAGGAAAAGTACAACACATCTTTTAAAGGATGGGGCATCAATATTTAGTTAATGCATGAGATAAATGGATTATCGTACTCATTTTCATTCAAGATCATATATTTTTTAATTTCAAAGAAGAAACTTAAGAATCTTTGAATTATTTACTATCTTGATGTGGAAGCTATTCCTGCTCACACCCTGCCGTAGCCTTCCAGTTGCTTACATTACAACTGGTTATGTTAAAATTGACAATGTGATAATATTTAATTATCTAAAATTCCAGATGAGTCTGAGGAATGACAGTGCATACTATTTAACACTTTCCCAGCCTGAGCAACATAAGAAGATCCCTGTCTCTACAAAAAAAATAAAAATTATCTGGGCATGGTGGTGCATGCCCAGCTACTTGGGAGGCTGAAGCAGGAGGATCACTTGAGCCCCAGGAGTTCAAGATTGCTATGAGCTATGATTGTGCCACTACCATCCAACCTGGGTGACACAGTAAGACCCTATCTCAACCTCCTGCCTCAGCCTTCACAGTAGCTGGGACTACAGGCACTCACCACCATGCCCAGCTAATTTTTTATTTCTATTTATAGTTGCCCAACTATAGTTCCCCAATTTTTCTATTTTTAGTAGAAACGAGGTCTTACTTTTGCTCAAGCTGGTCTGGAACTCCTGACCTCAAGCGATCCTCCCACCTCAGCCTCCCAGAGTGCTAGGATTACAGGCATGAGCCACCCTGCCCAGCCATTTTTGTTTTTTGAGACAGGGTATTGCTCTGTCACCACGGCTAGATTATAGTGGCATCATCATGGGTAACTGCAACTTCAAACTTGTGGGCTCAAGCCACCCTCCTGCCTTAGCCTTCCAGGTTGCTGAGACTACAGTTTTACACCACCATGTTGGGCTAATTTTTCAACTTTTTCTAGAGACAGGGTCACACTTTTGCTCAGGCTAGTTTCAAACTCCTGGCCTCAAGCAATCCTCCTGCCTGGGCCTCCCAAAGCGCTAGAATAACAGGTGTGAGCCACTGCACCTGGCCATGTGCCCAGTTCTTTATTGCAGCATTTATTTATTTACTTATTTAGAGACACAGTCTCACTCTGTTGC